CTAGCGCAGGCAGGGGTGAGAATACCAGGTTCGGATGTGAAGCGCTTTGTATATAAGTTGTTGCGATGTTTGTTACTTGGCAGGTGGGCTTGATAAACAACGGTAGAAACCGCGTTCTTCTAAAACTTTAAGTTCCCATCATTGTAAACAAAATCCTTGTATATTATCAATGAATTATAATTTAGTAAAGTATGTAATGTAAGAAATATGTATTGAAAATAATGTGGCTGGCATGTAGCACAGATTCTTTTGTTAGGTCTGACATTTACTACGTTTTAATAACTACTCCCATTAGTAAACGCTTTTGTTTCGACCTCCGTTTGTTGTTTTCACCATATTTTTTTTTATCAATCACTACATGTACTTTACTGTATGCATACAGGATAAGTTTGGGGCCATTCGTCGCATCAGGTATGGGGGTATGATGTTTTAAACTTTCGAGCAAGGAAAATTGTTCAAGGATGTGCCGGTGGGACATTTGGTGTCGTTTCAACCTCCGCTTGACCTTTTAAACAAGACTTCTTTTAATCATTTACTACATTTACCGTATTTCAAGCATATAGGGCAAGTTTGGTGCCATTCGCCGCATCTGATAGGAAGATACGCTGCATCAATTGCGTAAGGAAAACAGTACATGGATATGCCTATGCGACACTTGGTGTCATCTAAACATCCGATAAATTTGTTTAACAATGTTTCCTTATATAATACACTACATTTACTATAATACAAGTATGCAGGACAAGTTTGGTGCCGTTCGCCGCATCTGGTAGGAAGATATATTGCTTCAAACAGTTGAGAAAGGGAAATTGTGCAAGGATAGGCCTTTGCGACACGTCATGTAGGTTTGACGTCCGTTCGTGATTGTTTACAAGGTTTGTTCCAATAATTCACTACGTTAACTACATCGCTTGCATGCAGGACAAGTTTGGTGCTGTTCGCCGCATCTTATAGGAAGATATGCTGTTCCAAACGAGTGAACTAGGAAACATGTGCCAGGATAGGCTTGTGCGATACGTGATGTAGTTTTGACGTCCGTTCGTGATTCTTTACAAGGCTTATTTTGATCATTCTCTACGTTTACTAAATGTCAGACAAACGAACGAGGAATGATGAACCAGCAGCATGCAGGGGTACAAGTAGGGAACCCTATTTGGGTTGTACCCCATATGGGCTACCCCACACAGCCTAAACAACAAGCCGCATATAAGTTTGATACACCCCCAAAGGCAAAGAGGGGGAGAACAAGGGGTCACAAGACCAGTCAAGAAAAGCAAAGTAAGCTCAGGGTGGATAAGAAGTCACCACACACTCTGAGCACAGGCAAATGGCCACAAGGCCAGTTCACATGCAGAGTTGTATAAAGCAGAACAAACAGTACAGTGATCAAAACATAACAAGTGAAGGCATGCAGGTTTAAGCATATAGATCACAGTACAAACAAAGTCAACAAGTGAGCAAGTGAGGCCAAGAAGGCTCAAGACCTAGAACAGTACAAAAAAGCTGATGATCACAAGGCTGAAGTGCCTTGGTGAAGATATCAGCAGTGTTGGCCAAAGAGGCCACGTAAGCAAGACGAAGCTCACCACGCTGCTGCAACTCTCGAGCAAGGAAGTAAAGCAAAGCGATGTGCTTCGTTGTGTGTTCCAGTATGTGCTCTCGACACAAGGCAATCTTGGCCTTGTTGTTGACGTACAAAAGTAGAGGAGAATGTGGCGGCTCGCCCAAGTCGGTCAGCAAGTAGGTGAGCCAGCATAACTCCTGTGCAGCCATGGCCCCAGCGTAGATATCAGCCTCACAACAAGAGCTGAGAATAGAAGACGAGCGGGTAGACAGCCAAGAAACAGAGCCAGAGCCAAGGCTGAACGTGTAACCCTGTGACGACCGCTGCGTAGCCAAGTCGTCAACCCAAGAAGCGTCTGCGTGTCCAGTGAGGTCAACTCGAGCCCGTCCTCCAAGCACGAGCCCCATGCCCGACGTACTGCGCAAGTAGCGCAACACCCTCTTAGCGGCCTCCCAGTGCTCTGGTCGGTGTCTCCCGGGTGCATCGTAGCGTGCCAGGATGCTAAGAGGGTATACAAGGTCAGGACGAGTGCAGGACATCAGGTACATGAGGCAGCCCACAAGCTCTGGATACGGGCCACTCGGCTCTACGGACTCATTCGAAGGCAGAGCTAAGAGCAAGTGACCAGTAGGCAGAGGAGTGGACTGTGGCAAGGAGTACGTGAAGCGGAAGTGCTGAAGGACCTGCTGCACCATGTGTGACTGAGTCAGGGTAATGATGCACCGTGCTCTGTCCGGGGTAATCTGCAAGCCAAGATAGCTGCGCAGCTCTCCCACATCTATGCACTGTGTCTTTTCTGCAGCTCTGACTTCACGTGGGCGAGTCCCTCAGTGTCAGTAGTGGCAAAGACCAAGTCGTCGACATATATGAGGATGTAGAACGGCGGCAGCGAAGTGTTGGTGCGCAGAAACAGCGACGGGTCAGCAGTCGAAGGAGTAAACCCAAGAGCCGCAAGGGTTGTCCTCAGTGTGTTGTGCCACGCGCGAGGCGCATGGCGGAGACCGTAGACTGGCCGCTGGAGGCTCCAATGGGTACTAGGAGGAAACGACCCAGTGAAGCCAGGTGGGCGGCGCAGCCAGATTTCCTTGTGCAGGCTGCCCTGTAAGAAAGCTGTGCTGAAGTCAAGAGAGTGAAGCTCGTAGTCACGCTGAGCGGCGGCGTGCAACAGAACCCAAAGAGTGGTCATCTTCGGGGTAGGGGAGAAGGTTTGGAAGAAGTCAACTCCCTGTCGCTGACTAAAGCCCCGTGCAACATAACGCGCCTTAAAGATAGGCGGGGAACCCGGCGGCCGCTTGACCCTGAAAATCCACATGCCACTGACGATGTTCGCCCCAGGTGGGGGAACGTCATCAACGTAAGTGTCTGTGGACTTCCAGGATGCCATCTCTGCATCTATGGCTGACTGCCACTGAGAGGAGTAGGGACCCTCAATCGCCTCTGCGTAAGAGCGCGGGGTCGGGATGTCTGGTGCATCCGGGTCTCCCTCAGGTGCAATCAACATGGACATGAGATGAGGTACAGCAGCTGCAAAGCACTCAACGTCCTTCTGCATATCCTGAAGGACGTCCTTGCCAAGAGCACACTCACCCCCGACAAACGGAGGATAGACAGACTCAAACTTAGCAACAAGACTAGCGGCGTAGTCGAGGCGACAGGCGGCAGCATAGTCGACAAGCTCAGCAACAAGGGCAGATGTAGCAGTGGACTCAAACGAAGGGTCAGTGACAACAGTGGCTAGCAGACGCGTGACAGTAGGGCTGGCAGCACGAAGTGAGTCAGACTCCAGGTCCGGACCGTCAGCAAGGGAGGTCGCAGGAGGAGAAGGTAGAGGGATACGCAGTGGAATAGAGGAAGGACGAAGTGCCATCTGGTGCGTGCCGCGGACAGGGGGAGGACGCTCACGCGGAGCACGACGACCAGTGCGAACAGCGCAAACAGGCGACGCTGGACGAGACGCAGGCTCATGAAGCTTTGTATGACCGCTGGGCTGCTCAGTCTAAGGAGAAGGAGCAGGCATTGGAGAGGTTGGCTGTAACTGCAGCTAGGACTGGTCAAGCGGTGGACACAGTAAGACCAGTGGAAGGCGGGAGACCAAGAACCTTCTGAAGTAGTGGAACGAAGTACGGTCGCGACCACACATCGCCTCTTGAACTAGCACCAACAGCACCAGCACCCCCAGGCGCAGCACCTCTAGCTCCAACGCCTGCAGCACCAACAGCTCCATTAGCACCAGGACTTCGAGCTCCAGCAGCTCCACCTCCAGCATTACCTCCAGCTCTAGTAGCACCTCCAGCTCCAGCAACTCCAGTACCTACAGAACGAGCACCTCCGAAACCAGCTTCTCCAGCGCCTCCTGTAGCTCCAGCTCCTCCAGCACCTCCAGCTCCAGCAGCTCTAGCACCTCCAATAGCACCTCCAGCTCTAGCAGCTCCGGCACCTCCTGAAGCACCTCAAGCTCCAACAGCTCCAGTACCCACAGTATGAGCACCTCCAGGTCCAGCGGCTCCAGCACCTCCAACAGATCCAGCTCCTGCAGCACCTCCAGCTCCAGCAGCTCCAGCAGCACCACCTCGGAGGATCCAGCGCCGGGCAAGCCACTCATGCAGCTGCACTGGAGAGAGAGGCTCCTGGCGTGACGAGACACTCGTAGGACCTCCAACAAACAAAGGACCTCCAGGATCAGCACGCTCAGGTGTAGCACCCCCAGGCTCAGCACCCCCAGGCTCAACACCCCCCTGCTCAGCACCCCCAGGCTCCGCACGCTCAAGCTCAGCACTCCCAAGCTCCGCACCCTCAGACTCAGAAACCCCTGGCTCAGCAGCCCCAGGCTCCGCACGCTTAGGCTCAGCACCCCGAGTCTCAGCACCCCCAGGCTCCGCACGCTTAGGCTCAGCACCCCCAGGCCCCACACCCGTAGTCTCAGCACCCCCAGACGTAGCACCCCTAACAGCACCAGAGTCGACAGCTACCTCGACAGTCTCGACAGGGTCTACCTGGGACACACCTAAGGGAGCAGGACCCTGAGGGGGGAGGGGGTCTACCGGAGGAGGACCTGGTGAGAGGAAGAGCGGCGGGGGGGGGAGAGGGGCAGTGCGGTAGGGGAAGAGATGGTAAAAGGAAACCGGCTTGTCAAACGTGACGTCCTTAGAGGGCAGGACATGATGCGAGGTGGGGTGGTAAAACTGCCAACCAGGCGCGTTAGGGGGAAAGCCAAGCAAGACACATGGAATGGCACGGGAGGAGAGCTTGTCCGCGGAGGTATCGCAGACAAATGCACGAGATCCCCAGACCCAGAACACCGACGCATCGCCAACCTCTCCCGTCCAACGCAGTGTTCGCGAGGTCTTCGGCAAGGAGACACGGGGCCAGAGGTTGAGCTGATGCGCAGCGTAGTGGATCGCAAATGGCCACAGAAAATGGGGGACAGCCGCATGGATCATGGAGGTACAAGGAGACGGGAGTGCATGCCATGGAGTCGTGCTACGGAGGGGTGACCAAGGCGGTGGTGCCAGAGGAGCGTCTGGTGCGAGAGGTCACGATACAAGCAGGGGGCCGCAAGCTGACCTGACGCAGACGCAGACGCAGCTACCTGAGGGGGCGCAGTAGTCAGTGTGTACAGACTCGACCCAGGCAGACGGGTGAACATGGCAAGGTGCCTGCCAGTCCGGGAGCACGTACAGATCACCACACCCTGTCCTCCAGGGGTGAAGGTATCAACCCACGCATCTTGAAGGACGGCGTTGCTTACGAAGTTCGTAGAGAACGAGGGGAGGTGGAGACCTGATAGTGAGCTAGACGGAACCGCCGTACACAGCAGAATAGTGGAGGAACGTGCAAGGACTGAGCCCCCAAAGGGGCCAGCCAGAGAGACATCAATAGGTGCTGAGAGCGGTGTGACTGTGGTACTGTTGCGAAAGAAACAGCGTGAAGCACTTGAGTCAAGTGTGAAGGTGTGCAAGGCCGCAGCAGACGCGGTACCTAAGAGAGCAGACTCTCTAGCACCTAGAGCAGCGGACTCACTAGCACCTAGAGCAGCGGCCTCTATATCTGGGTCTGGCGGCATACACAGGTAACAGTCACCCTCAGCACTAACAGTCAATGCATATATGGCAACAAGGATAGCATCATAATCAAGAGAAAAGATATCCACACCCTGTCTAAGTTGCTCTGCCTAGCGGGGGAGCTCAGCCGCGTTGGTAACTCTGTATGGATGGCGTCGGTAAGACGAGAGAAGCAGCGGTACTGGGTGTGAAGCTTCGCGCATGTCTGACCAGAGCAGTCACCTGTGCGAATGACATACGGGCAGGGACCACCACCCCCAGCCGCCCCACGCTGAGCAAACCACTCACGTAGCTCCTAAGGCGAATGGGTCTGACGCTGACGCTGCTGCTGCTGCCGCTGACCACCGCCAAGGCCTCCCCTCTGGCTGGTACCACCCCGGCCACCACCACTGCCGCCGCCTCCACTCCCACTTCCTCCACCACTGCCGCTGCCACCACCCCCACTGCCGCCACCACCGCCGCCACATGCACCTCCACCCCCACCTACACTCTCTCTACCACCGCCGCCCCCTCCACCGCCTCCACCACCCCCACCACCGCCTCCACCTCTGCCACCCCCACCGCCCCTGCCTCCCCTGCCCCTGCCGCTGCGGCGTCTCCCACTAGGGGTAGACGCAACTCCCACCTCCTCAGCACGAAGGTAGTCAACAGCTACAGCAGAGGCGACGGAGCGGAGAAGGGGGGAGGGCGAGCACCCCTTAAAGAAGGGAGTGCGATGAGTGCCACGAGACGCGCCTACAGCGACTATGCTAGTCTGAGCTGCAAGGAGGTGCTTCTCGAGCAGGTCGACAGTGAGGTCTGTGGGGTCAAAGGTGCGAAGGAGGTCCCTGACAGCGCTAGGAGAGTCACGGAGGCGGGTGACTATGAAGTTGAAAGTGATGTACATGGGAGGAGGGTTCTTGGTGAGGAACACGGCAGGAAGCGCGGCTTGGTAGCGGACGTCACTAGTGCGAAGGTGAGTGATGAGGTCAGCTACTGTGGCAAAGACGGACAGCTCTAGGAATAGGTAGGGCAGTAGAAGGCCGCCTAGAGCAGCAGTGGCCGGGGAAGAGTAACGAGTGACTACAGCGTCATACAGGGCTTTAGCGGTCTTGTGCTGGCCAAAGTGAGTGCGTTCGGCTAAAGGCAGGTGATTGCGAACGGCTAGGCGATCAGTAGCGTCATGGGTAAGCCACTGTGCGCGAGTCGTACTGTCAGCTATGTCGGGAGGGGCAGGAGAGGCTCCAAACGTTAGGTCAAACAACGAAATACCGTCCTTAGAGTCGCTCAGTAAGTCATTGAGCCAAGACTGGAACTCTATCGGGCGGCCCTCCGGATCGAAGGTGAGTACACAGAGAGACGCCATAGCGGGCAGAGTAGGCGAGCGCGGTAGCAGCAGGGCAGCACGCAAGTAGGGCAGGGCAGGGCGGCAGCCAGCAGGGTGGCTCACAGGGAGGGCAGCGCGGCTGCTAGCGGCGCATGGGCTGGGCAGGGCGCGCGGCTGCTGGCGGCGCGCTTTTTAGGGCAGGGCACGCGGCAGCAGGCGACGCGCGGGCAGGGTAGGCCGCTCAGCGGCGGGCGGCTCGCGGGCAAGGCAGGGCACGCGGCAGCGAGCGGCGCGCTGGTAGGGCAGGGCACGCGGCGGCAAGTGGCGCGCGGGCAGGGCAGGGCGCGTTGCGGCGAGCGGCGCGCGGGTAGAGCAGCGCGCGCGGCCGCGATCAGCGCGCTGGCAGAGTGGCGCAACGCGGCGCGGCGGCGAGCGGCTCGCGGGCATGGCGTGCGGCGCGGCGGCCAGCGGTGCGCGGGCAGGGTAGTACGCGCGGCAGCAAGCAGCGCGTGGGCAGGGCGCGCGGCGCTGCAGCGAGTGACGCGCGGGCAGAGCAGGGCAGGGCGCGCGTCGGTGAGCAGCGCACGGGCAGGGCAAGGTGCGCAGCTGCAACGAGCAGCACGTGGGCAAGACAAGACAGGGCGTGCGCGGCAGCGCAACGCAGGGAAGGGCAGGGCGGCGCGACACTAACAGGCGCGACTCGTGGGGTAGCGCAGTTCGGTGGGCCCTAAAAAAAAGATTCGGTCCTAGGCTAGGACCTGCTCTGAAACCATGTCAGAAGAACGAACGAGGAATGATGAACTAGCAGCATGCAGGGGTACAAGTAGGAAACCCTGATTGGGCTGTACCCCATATGGGCTACCCCACTACAGCCTAAACAACAAGCAGCATGCAAGTTTGACACTAAATTGCATGTATGTAGGACAAGTTTGGTGATGTTCGCTGCATCTGGTAGGAAGACATGTTGCTTTGAACAATTGAGTTAGGAAAACTGTGCAAGGATAGGCCTTTGCGGCACGTCATGTAGTTTTTATGTCCGTTCGTGATTGTTTACAAAGTTTGTTTTGATAATTTACTACGTTTACTATATTGCAGGCATGCATGACAAGTTTGGTGTCATTCGTTGCATATGGTAGTAGATATGCTACTTCAAATGAGTGAGGTAGGAACCCTGTGCAAGAATAGGCCTGCACGACACGTGATGTGGTTTTGACGCCCGTTTGTGTTTTTTTACAAGGTTTTCTTTTATCATTCGCTACATTTACTATAATGCAAGCATGCAAGACAAGTTTGGTGCCATTCGCCGCATCTGGTAAAAAGATATGCTACTTCAAACGATCGAGCGGGGGAAACTGTGCAAGGATAGGCCTGTGCGACAGGTGGTGCATTTTCGACGAGGCTAAATTGAACAAGGTTTCTTATTATCATTCATTACATTTACTATATTGAAAGCATGCAATACAAGTTTGGTGCCATTCGCCGCATCTGGTATGTACATTTGCTGCTTCAAATGATTGATAAGGGAGAACTGTGCAAGAATAGGCATGTGCGACACGTAATGTTGTTTCGATGCCCGTTAGAATATATTTACAAGGTTTCTTGTGATCACTATCCATATCAACTATATGCGCGTCCACCTTGACACTTGTGCAACATGCTTTTCGTGCACGACAAGTACGCAACTGTTTGTTGTGCAGACTTGCATATACTCGTTAGTTGATACACAGATGCGCATATGGTTACCAGCGACTGCAATGCTGGCAGGTTGTTAACGGGAATGGAGTGTTGGCCCCGCCCTCGCTTGGGCGACGTCGACGTCCTGGTCGGGTATACGAGAAAAGCAACCGAACCTATGCAGTGGGCGAGCAGCTCGACGGGCTTCGTCGAGCTGTAGTGGACCACTGTGGCGATGCCGTCGACAGGGAGCCAACGACCTACTTCAACGAGGCAGGTCGATGAGGTTCGGAACTGTAGCCGTCGACGAGGGGAGCTCGACAACTGCAGCTGTCTGAGCTAGTCGACGGACGGGCCGTTGACCACGAGGGGTCCACGACAGGCACAGTGGTTGACGAGGGAGGTCGTCGACCAGGGCGCGCACTGGGAGGTCAACTTGGTCGACCAAGTAACCGACTCGGCTAGTTTTGCGAAGGCACGCAAATGTCGTCAAGGTCGTAAAGGCGAAGGCGACTTCGGACTGGTATCCCAAAGTCGATGTGGCTGATCAGGCGCAAACAACAATCGACGCGCACGAGACAATACATGTTGGGCCAATTGTCTACGTGCACCTATGAGCATGCGAGCTGCTGTCATCTACGTGAGAAAAGAGAACGAGAAAGAAATGACTAAGGGAAAGTTGGGTACAAGTACAAACCCCAAAAAGCTGTACCCCATATGTGCTACCCCACTATAGCCTACAGTAGCTATGTCATATAAATCTGACACACCCCCATAGGCAAAGTCGGGGAGAACAAGGGGTCACAAGACCAGTCAAGCAAAGCAAAGCAAGCTCAGGGTGGATCACAAAGTCGCCACACATTCAAAGCACAAGTTCAAGGCCACAAGGCCAGTTCACATGCAAGATTACATATATATAAGGCTAGACAAGCAAGAGCAGGTGTATATATATATATACAACAGTACAAACAAGGTCAAGGGGTGAGCAAGTGAGGCAAGGTAGGCACAAGACCCAGCTGAGTACAGAAGCGCTGATGATCACAAGGCGCAAGTGCCTGGGTGAAGACATCAGCAGTGTTGGCCTCAGAGGCCACGTACGCAAGGCGCAGCTGACCACACTGCTGTAGCTCACGAGCAAGGAAATAGCGGAGAGCAATGTGCTTCATTCTGTGCTCCAGTCTCTCCTCTCGACACAAGGCCAGCATGGCCTTGTTGTCTACGTACAGCACTGGAGGAGAATGAGGCGGCTCTCCTAGATCAGTCAGCAGGTAGGTGAGCCAGCGAAGCTCCTGAGCAGCCATGGCCCCGGCGTAGATCTCAGCCTCACAACTGGAGCCGAGAACAGAAGACGAGCGGGTAGCCCGCCACGAAACAGAGCCAGAATCAAGGCTGAAGGTGTAACCCTGTGACGACCGCTGCGTAGCCTGGTCGTCAGCCCAAGAAGCGTCTGCGTGCCCAGTGAGGACCACTGGACTCTGCCCTCCAAGCACAAGCCCCATGCCCGACGTACTGCACAAGTAGCGCAACACCCTCTTCGCTGCAGCCATGTGCTCCGGTCTGTGTCTCCCAGGAGCAACATAGCGTGCGAGAATGCTAAGAGGGTATGCAAGGTCAGGTCGTGTGCAGGTCATCAGGTACATGAGGCAGCCAACAAGCTCTAGGTACGGGCCACTCGACTCTACGGACTCATCCGAAGGCAGAGCTGAGAGCGAGTGGCGAGTAGGCAGAGGAGTGGCCTGAGGCAAGGAGTACGTGAAGCCGAAGCGCTGAAGGACCTGCTGCACCATGTGTGACTGAGTCAGGGTAATGGTGTGGCGTGCTCTGTCCCAGGTGATCTGCAAGCCAAGGTAGCGGCGCAGTTCACCCAAGTCTGTGCACGTGTGTCTCTTCTGCAGCTCAGACTTCACGTGGGCGAGTCCAGCAGTGTCGCCAGTAGCAAAGACCAAGTCGTCGACGTACACGAGGATGTAGAACGGCGGCAAAGAGGTGTCGGTGCGCAGAAACAGCAACGGGTCGGCAGTAGAAGGAGCAATTCCAAGAGCCGCAAGTGTAGTCCTCAGTGTGTCGTGCCACTCACGGGGCGCCTGGCGGAGACCGTAGACTGGCCGCCGGAGGCTCCACTGGGTGCCAGGAGGAAAAGACCCAGTGAAGCCAAGTGGGCGACGCAGCCAGATCTCCTCGTGCAGGCTGCCCTGCAAGAAAGCAGTGCTGAAGTCAAGAGAGTGCAGCTGGTATTCACAGTGAGCAGCTATGTGCAGCAGTACCCGAAGAGAGGTCATCTTTGGGGTGGGAGAGAAGGTCTGAAAGTAGTCAACTCCCTGCCGCTGACTGAAGCCACGAGCCACGTAACGCGCCTTGAAGACAGGCGGAGAACCCGGCGGCCGCTTCACCCTGAAAATCCACATGCCACTGACTATGTTCGCCCCAGGCGGGGGAACCTTGTCAACGTAGGTGCCTGTGGACTTCCAGGAAGCCATCTCTGCGTCCATAGCTGCCTGCCACTGAGAGGAGTAGGGACCCTCTATCGCCTCCGCGTAAGAGCGCGGAGTCGGGATGTTAAGTGCATCCGGGTCTCCCTCAGGGGTAAGCAGTACGGACACGAGATGAGGTGAAGCGGCGGCCAAACACTGGAACTCCTCCTGCCTGTTCTCAAGGACGTCCATGCCAAGGGCACACTCACCCCCGACGGACGGAGGAAAGACAGACTCAGACTCAGCGACAAGACTAGCAGCGTATTCTAGACGACAGAGAGCAGCAAAGTCGACGAGCTCAGCAACTAGGGAAGACGCAGCAGTGGACTCAAAGGAAGGGTGAGTGACGACAGTAGCAAGGAGTAGCAGTGGACGGACGTAGAGACATCCGGTGCGTGCCAGGGACAGGGGGAGGATGCTGACGCGAACCACGACCATTAGTGCAAGCAGGACGGATAGGCGACGCAGGGCGAGACGCAGGCTCACAACGCTCAGCAAGACCTCTAGTAGGACCAGTGTAGGGAGAAGGAGCAGGCAGTGGGGAGGCCGGCTGTAACTGTAACTGTGACAGGACAGGCTATGGACACTCTAAGGGAGGAGGAGAACCAGTAGAAGGCGGGAGACCAAGAACCTGCTGAAAGAGCGGAACGAAGTACGACCGAGGCCGCGCTACGGCTCCAGACACAGCAGGGACAGCACCAGTACCCCCAGCGGCAGCACCAGCGCCAGCAGCACCCCTAGCTCCAGTACCTCCAGCAGCACAAGTAGCACCCCCAGCAGGACCGCCTCGAGGACCGACACCAGTAGCCTCAGCGCCAACACCCTCAGGAGCTCCAGCTCTAGTCGTACCCGTAGGCCCAGCAGCTCCAGGTTTCCTAGTATGAGCACCTCCGGGACCCGCGGCACCAGCACCCTCAGCAGCCAAAGAACCTCCAGCTTCAGCAACACGCCTCGAGCGCCGGGCAAACCACTCGCGCAGGCTTCACACCCCCAGGCCCAGCACCTCCAGGCGTAGCACCCCCAAACTCAGCACCCCCAGGCGTAGCACTCCCAGGCTCAGCACCCCCAGGCTCAGCACCCTCAGTGGTAGCACCCCCAGGCTAAGCACCCCCAGGCTCAGCACCTCCAGTAGTAGCACCCTCAGGCTCAGCACCCCCAAGCGTAGCACCCACACGCTCAGCACCCCCAGAGTCAGCACCCCCAGGCTCAGCACCCTCAGCAGCACCAGAGTCACCAGTAACCTCGACAGGCTCGATTGCGTCTACCTGGGACACACTTGAAGGGGCAGGACCCTGAGGGGGGAGGGGGTCTACCGGGGGGGGACCTGGCACAAGGAAGAGCGGTGGCGGGGGGAGGGACGGAGTGCGGTAGGGGAAGAGACGGTAGTAGGGGACCGAATCGTCAAACGTGACGTTCTGGGAGGACAGAACACGGCGAGAGGTGGGGTGGTAGAACTGCCACCCTGGCGCGTTAGGGGGGAAGCCAAGGAAGACGCAAGGAGCAGCGCGAGGGGACAGTTTGTCCGCAGACAAGTCGCGGACAAACGCCCGAGATCCCCAGACACGGAACGCAGACGCATCGCCAACCTTCCCCGTCCACAGCAAAGCTGGGGAGGTCTTTGGCATGGAGACCCTGGGGTGAAGGTTGATCTGATGCGCCGCTTACCGAACCGCAAACGGCCACAAAAAATGGGGGGCAGCCGCATGCATCATGGACGTACGAGCGACATCCATGACCATGCCAATGCGGCGCTCAGCAATCCCATTTTGCTATGGAGAGTCCGGAAGCGTGAAGGTCTGGCGGATGCCTCGTGCACGACAGTAGGCTCGCAGAAGGCCAGAGGAGAATTCTCCGCCTCTGTCAGAGTGCAGACGCAGAACAGGAAAGTCCGAGCCGAAGCTCTGGCTGAGCTGGAGACGAGCTGCGCGGATCCAGTTGATCAACACCTCAGTGACATCACCCTTGCTGCGCAAGGGGAAGACTGTGGTGTAACGCGAGTAGTTGTCAACCACCAGCAGGAAGTAGCGCTCGTGACCCTGTCCACGGACGCGGGCCGGGCCCCACACGTCCATGTGAAGTGTCTGCAGCGGGGCCTCTGTCGGAGGAAAGTGGGAGGAGTGAGGGGGGGGTAGCCCGCTGCCGCCCCTCAACACAGGGGACGCAGGTAGGGCCAGGCCGCGGAGGAAGGGGAGGGAGGGATCGGGGAAGACCAGAGACAAGGACACGAGAGGCCATGCCTCGTAGACGAAGCAGGGAGGGGTGAACAAGACGGTGGTCCTAGAGGAGAGTCTCGTGAGACAGGAGGCGACACGAGCTGGGGGCAGACTCAGGACCAGACCTGGACGCTGCAGCAAACACCTGACCCGACGCAGCTACCTGACCAGACGCAGTGACTGGAGGAGACGTAGTGGTCAGTGTGTACAGGCTCGACCCCGGCCGACGTGTAAACGTGGCCAGGTGTCGGCCTGTCCGAGCGTCCGTGCAGTGGGTCACCCGCTGACTCGCAGGAGTGATCTGGTGAACCCCCGCATCCTGTAGGTCAGCACCACTCACCAAGTTCGTAGAGAACGAGGGGAGGTAAAGACCAGACAGGGTGCCAGAGGGGGCCGCCGGACACGGGAGGACAGTGGAGTAGTGAGCAAGGACAGGACCCCCAGAGGGGTCTGCTGGAGAGACTGCAACTGGCCGGCCAAGTGTTATAGTCACAGTAGGCTCCAATGTGCCTAAAACGAAAGATAGAGTGCACAGCCAGATTTATGCACAGCGGCTTCAAACGTTCATAGCGTTCTGGTCACAACATCAAATGACTTGATTCAACTTGGATCTGGAGCGTCTTATTCTCGCCTACGCTAGGAAAGTTAGATCGCACGATTTGACCAAGACGACACAGCATCGGTTTGAAGGAACAGTACTATGGCAGCAACATAGTCTTAGAACACAAGATAGGAAGAGTTAGGAAGAGTTACGAGTTGGGAATGACTCCCAGCTCCTACAAACCCCAAGAGCCGAGGTACAGTGATGTGGAACAGTGCCACACTGTCCCCAACCACGAAGGGTCTCGAAACTACCCTTCACTAGGGCCTACACCAAGTGAAATGTTACACTACACAAAGTAATGTAACTATCTTCAATATCTTGAGGTGCAGCCTTTTGGCGAGCTTCGAAATCACTTGAGGCTTGACACCAAGGTTCGGGCTCTTCATCACAAACTCATCCTTGAATTCTTGATGGGTCTTCTTCACACTCCTGCGAAACGCCGAACGTTCGACAAGCGACAAAATAAAAACCGCGCACGACAAATAGAAACCACGCGGGACACACAAAACGACCACGTTACACGCGACTAGCGATAATTCGCTATTGACTTGACACACACACTTGACATCATGACCCATCATTCACACACTATTATAAGCATGAAATATATATTTATTTCATGCATTCATTCCATTCCATGCACACACGCATGCAGGCACACGGACAACAAGCCGAGTGCAAACCGTAGGGTTGCACCAACACCAAGCGGCGTGAGTGTGGTGCGGTCTCAAAAGAAGGAGCGAGAAGCCCCCAAGTCAAGGGTGAAGGTGTGGGAGGCCGAAGCCGACGCAGTACCTGAGAGAGCAGACTCACCAGCATCTGAGGGAGCAGACGCACGAGCACCTAGAGCAGCAGCCTTGCTAGCACCTAGAGCAGCAGCCTCACCAGTACCTAGAGCAGCAGTCTCAATGCCCGGGTCGGGCGGAAAACACCGGTAACAGTCACCCTCATCACTAATAGTCACAGCATACATGGCAGCAAGAAGAGCATCAAAGTCAAGGTCAAAGACAGCTACTCCCGCCCTAGAAAGCTCGCCCTAGCGGAGGATCTCAGTGGCCTCCAAGAACTGGTGACGCCAAGCGTCCGTCAGGCGGCCAAAGCAGCGCTGGGTGGAGTGCGCACCCCCGCACTGCTCACCTGCGCGGTCGGCGGTGCGTAGGACGTAGGTGCACGGACCAGTACCCCCACCCCGCTGGCGTGCAGCGTACCACTCACGGAGCTGCTGAGGGGGGGGGATGTCACGAGTGCGCAGCTGCTGCTGCTGCTGCTGCTGGCGCTGACCACCACCGGAGCCGACCCTCTGCGCAGCGCCACCCCGACCAGCTCCACCTCCACCGCCACCGCCGCCACCTCCGCCACCTCCGCTCCCACCGCCACCGCCGCCGCCGCCTCCGCCTCCACTGTCGCCACCGACACCTCCACCCTCGCCACCACCCCCACCGCCACCCCCACCCCCTCCATCGCCTCCACCGCCTCCTCCACCGCCCCCGCTAGCTCCTCCAGCGCCCCTGCCCCCCTTGCCCTTGCCAGGGCGGCGTCTCCCGCTAGGGGTAGACGCCGCACCGACCGACTCAAGCCCAACGAGGTCGGCCGCAGCAGCAGAGGCAACAGAGGGCAAAAGGGGGGAGGGGGAACACCCCTCAAAGATGGGGATGCGAGGGTCACCACGAGAGGCTCCTACAGCTACTATGCTCTTCTCTACTGCTAGGAGGCCCTTCTCGAGGAGGTCAACGGTGAGAGTGGTGGGGCAAACTGAGAGGAAGTTGTCCCTGACTACGCGAAGGGAGTCAGGGAGCCGGGTGACTATGTAGTAGAGGGTGATGTACATGGGGGGGGGGGGGGTGGTTCTTGGCGCAGAACTCAGCAAGAAGCGCAGCGCGGTAGCGAGTGTCACTAGTGCGGAGGTGCATAATGAGGTCAGCGACTGTGGGAAAGGCAGCAAGGCCAGGGAAGAGGTACGGTAGCATGAGGCGGCTCAGTGCAGCAGTGGCAGGGGAGGAGTAGCGTGCAACTACAGTGTCGTACAAGGTCTGAGCACTCTTGTACTGGCTAAAGTGCGCACGCTCAGAGGTAGGCAGGTGGTGACGCACAGCAAGACGTGCAGCAGCATCGCGTGTGGCCCACTGTGAGCGAACAGTGGCGTCAGCATTAGCAGAAGGGGCAGGAGAGGCACCAGAGGTGAGGTCAAAGAGGGAGAGACCATCTACCCTATCGCACTGTAGGAAAAGCTGCAGGTCATCTACCCAGACGTCAAAGTCAATGGCCCGACCCTCAGCGTCAAAAGCGAGGACACTAGGGGTAGCCATGACAGCAGTAGACTAGCAGCGCAAACCGTAGGGTAAGGGCAATGCAGTGACAGAGGCGCTGCTCTTACCGGACAGGGCGGCTTGGGCGGCTCGGCGGCTCGGCAACTGGGCGGCTCGGCGGCTCGGTGACTGGGCGGCTGGGCGGCTCGGCTCGGGCGGCTCGGCTGCTCGGCGGCTCGGCTGCTGGGCGGCTCGGCTGCTCGGCGGCTTGGCTGCTGGGCGGCTCGGCAGCTTGGCGGCTCGGCGATTGGCTGCTGGGCGGCTCGGCTGCTCGGCGGCTCGGCTGCTAGGCGGCTATGCCGCTAAGGAAGGTGGGGCCGCGAGGGGCGGCGGGGCCGCTAAAGTGAGCGGCGACGGGGCCGCTGAGGAGGCGGCGGGAGGGCCGCTGAAGGGGCGGCGTCGAGGCCGCTGCAGGGGTGGCGACGGGGCCGCTGAAGAAGGCGGCTGGGCCGCTGAAAGGGCGGCGACGGGCCGTTAGGGGAGGGCGGCGACGGGGCCGCTGTAAGGGCGGCAACGGGGCCGCTGTAAGGGCGGCGACGGGGCCGCTGTAAGGGCGGCGACGGGCTGTAAGGGGAGGGCGGCGACGGGCCGTAAGGGGAGGGCGGCGACGGGGCCGCTGCAAGGGCAGCGACGGGGTTCGCTGTAAGGGCGGCGATTGGGCCGCAGGTGAAAGGGCGGTGACGGGCCACAGGGGGAGGGTGGCAACGGGCCGCTGAGGGCGGTACGACGGGGCCGCAAAAGGGGCGGCGCGACAGGGCCACGAAGGGGCGGCGCGACGCGGCCGCGAAGGGCGGCGCGACGGAACCGCTAAGGGCGGCGCGACGGGCCGCTAAGGGCGACGCGACGGGGCCGCTAGGGAAGGCGCGACCCTAAGCGCGCTTCGGGCAGGGGCGGGACACGCCCCGGGCAGGAAAAAAAAGTCGGTGGGCCCTAGGAACAGTTCCCACTAGGGAACCTACTCGATACCATGAGAAAAGAGAACGAGAATGAAATGACTCAAGGAAAGTTGGGTACAAGTACAAACCCCAGAAAGCTGTACCCCATATGTGCTACCCCACTATTGCCTACAGTAGCTATGTCATATAAATCTGACACTACGGGTGCAACGATTGTTGGCACGTGGCCAACTCGGCATCTACGCGACGAGGTATGAGACACGATGTGCTCGACCGCTACAAACACATGTGAAGCGGGTGCGCACGTGCGCTATAGCGATCTGCGGTTGCAACGTTGGCTAGCCGCTCTGCTGCAGTGTTGGCAAGCCGTGCAGATGCAGTGTTGGCACATCCTCGACTCGCAGAGTTAGCAAGCTGCAGACTTGCTCTGCTTGCAGGCCGCCTTTCTGTAGAGCTGGTGCGATGCCTTTCAGCGATGGTGGCAAGTCGACATGCCTGGTCGCTAGGCTGCTAGGTCCAGGTGCAGTCACTTTGCCATTGCAATTTCTGTAATTCAAACTTTGCCAGTGCAACCTTGTTAATTTTTTGTGTGAACACATAAGAACGCTGGTGCAAGCTGCGATCACTCGTATCACCCATGCCTTCCCCCGTATTCCAACTTCCAGCGTGTAGGGAGTGGCTTCGCTAGTTCATCCGAGTGTGTTTTTCTATTACACTTATACATGTCCCTGCCAATGTGGTGGGTGCATCACTCGAGTATACACTAGTACGGAATTTGATCGTAAACCCCATGTCAGCTAGTCGTCTTGTTAGGGCGCCTCAGAAGGGCTTTGTCAGCCATCCCTCTCTTTCTTCTCTCGTTCTCCTTGTGCTTCTTCTCTCTTGAATCCCTACCCCCTCTTCTATCCTTCCGTGCCCTTCCGCTCTCATTCTCCACTCTCCCTCCCTCCCTCCCTCCCTCCCTCCCTCCCTCCCTCCCTCCCTCCCTCCCTCCCTCCCTCCCTCCCTCCCTCCCTCCCTCCCTCCCTCCCTCCCTCCCTCCCTCCCTCCATCCACATCTGAGTTACTGTGGCTCGAACCCTTTTCAACGCCTTTCAACTCCTTTGCACCTAGGCCTGCCCATCACCCTTTCGTCACCTCCTCTTTTCTGTGTTTCCCTCTCACCCTCCTTCAAGCCAGAGTGGCTTTAACCAGTTTTTATTGGCACCTAAAAATTTGAATCTTTCGCCCTCCTCCCTCCCCAGGCCGGAGTGACTGTTTTACCGTTACTTGTATGGTCCTGCCCGTGCCATCGTCAACTTTGCACCCTACTATATCAGCATGGGGGCAAGGTGAGAATGGGGAGCACTTGCTAGGTAGCGGCAGGGGTAGTAAGTTTCCCACGAAGAAGGTTGTTTGTTTCCCACAGTGCAGCTTTGCATTGCACTTTCTTCCCTTCTTCCTTGGTTCATGCCTTTTTCCACGCTCTCCTCCCTGCACCTCCTCCCTCGTCTTCCATCTCCTCGAATTTCATGCTTACCAACACTCAATCTGCCCCACCATGCAGCTGTTAGAGAGATTATTTGTTTCCCACGCTGCAGCTTGCAGAGTACATTGATTTGCATCGCTTCTTGCCCTTTTCCACACTCTCCTCCCTTCTGTCGCATCACCTCCCTCCTCTTGCATCTCATGTTGCCCTTCTCATGCTTACCAACACCTTCCGTGCCCCACCATGCAGTACCGTGCCCCAGTCCCTGACTTCATCGTCTACAATGGCAGCAGCAACGGCTTTAAAATCTCAAGGAAACACCACAGATCTCGCACCATCAATATAGCAAGGTCCTCCAAGGGCCCTCTCGCTGCACCGGGTTGTAGTGTCTGCCGCCCGAAGAAGGCCCGCTCCTCCAACACCATTCTCAAGCCGGACATCATCGCCCCGGGGGCCAACATCCTTGCGGCTGCGCCTAGGAAAACTGTCGGTGAGACGGGATCATTCCAGGTTTGTGAGGAAACTGCCGTGGCGGCGGCGCATGTTGCTGGTGTGGCTGCTCTGATCATCCAGCAACATCTTGATTGGATGCCCGCGTAGGTCATGTTTGTCATGATGACCACAGCTAGCAGCACTGACAACGGCAAAAGAACGATTGGGAATGTGAACGGCAAGTTGGCAAGGCCGTGGGAGATAGGAGCGGGGCATGTGTTTCCCGCTAGGGCGCTTGACCCCGGGCTGACCTACGATGCCAGGGAGTAAGATTTCCGCAACTTTCTTGCTAGGCTGAGCATGAAGCTGGCTCAAAAGGCATTCAGGTACGTGCCACTGAGCCCCGTTCCAGCCAGGAACCTGAATCAGCCTTATGTTATGCTGGTCAACATAATGCATGAACTCTTTGCTAGGCAGACTGTGACAAGCGTCTTGGACACCACATCGACCTACAGGGTGATGATTAACGCCCCTCATGCTGTGAGAATGAGAGTGGTGCCATCGCAATTTACCATAGCGCCGGGGCAACGGGTAATTTTCAAGGTGAAGTATGTGCTGAGGATGAGGTTTAGAACATTCAAGTTTGGTAGCAATACGTGGAAGGATGACAACGTCAGTCTGTACGTTCGGTCCTTGTTCTCCATTGCAAACCAAGTTGCGTGTACTTCTGCTAAACTATGGAAGCTGATTAATAAGCCATGTGTTGTGCAACTTACCTGTTTGCTGGTAATTTTGTCAGGTGCCCGTGTTTTCTCTGTAGATGAGTCATGTTAGTACCTCTAAATAGAGTGTGCCATGTTTTTGAATCACAAATCGGTATTCAACTACCTGAAGGATTCTTTCTTCTAGTCAACGCTTCATCGACCAGCAGCATGGGCACCCAGAGGAGAGTGTCAAATGTTGTAGCCTGTAGTGGGGCATGCTATGTGAAGTATAGTTGATAGGGTTAGGTATATGTACCCAAACTCACAATAATACATCATTCATTCTGTTTCTGACATGGTATCACCTAGGTTAGGATCCTGCTGGATCCCGTTCCTCTTGCTTGACCCGCTCGTGCCCGTTACGCCTAGCCTACCATGCCTGTAGCACCCTCTTGTCGCGCCTCCCTGCCCGCCGCGTCGCACCCTGCTTGTCGCGTCGTGTCTCGTCCGTCCTGTCCCATCCCCTCATGCTCGTCACGCCTCCCCGCATGTCGCGTCGCGCCCTGCCCATCCAGTCACATCGTGCCCATCCCGTACCATCCCCTCGCGCCCGTCGCGCCTCCTTGCCCGTCGCGTCATCCCATCCCGTCCCGTCATGTCGCGCCCGTTGCGCCTCCCTGCCCGTTGTGTCGCGCCCTGCTCGTCCCGTCATGTCACGCCCTGCCCATCCCCATTAGCTGGGGTTTCCTCCGCCAAACTAAGACGTGGCAGTAGTAGATCCCTCCCCTCCACATCAATTATGGCGACGACTAGGGTCCTGCGCTTTGATGCTGAGGGTAGGCCGCTGGAGTTTTCTGTTTGGCTCCTCCGTGCGCAGCACCTACTAGAGAGTCAACGTCACGCTAATGAGTCCCTCTCGGTGCACGCCTCCGATGACCTTCTTGCGCCCTCTGCTCCTGAACCCCTAGGCGTTGACCCCACTACTGCGTACAGAGAGCGTTTTGCACGTCAGCGCGCTGCCCTGACAGCTTGGAGGTTGCGCGACGCTACAGCCTGCATCGCCGTCGGCAGCCTCCTCCCTGAGTCTGAGGAGACCCACTTCACCCAGGTTCGTACTGCTAGCGAGTTCTTGACTGCGATCAAGGCCCACTACCCACTCCCACCACTATCTCTCTTGGTCGCTTGTTCCTCCCGTTTCCGTTTCCTGACCTCGCCTCGTTTGAGCATTCTGCTGACCTGATTGCTCATCTGCGTTCGCTGGATGCTAGCTACCGCGCTGCCCGCACTGATGCACAGCCTGCACTGCTTCCCCCCCCCCCCCCCCCCCCCCCATGGCAATCACTATTTATTATTATCGTCACTAGCCTCCCTGACCGCCTTGCCACAGTTCGCGACGCGCTTCTTCTGAAAGCACCCTAGTGAGCTCAGTATCGAGGTCCTTGAGTCTGCACTCAAGCTCGTCGAGAGCAACCTCCGCCTCTATTGAAGCTTGCTGGGATG